TATCTTACAACAGCGACTTACAAACACTTACCAAAGACACTATAGTTTTCTTTTTAATTTGTGCATTGGATTTTGTTTTTCACCCTACACCGGTAACGGTACGGGTCTAACTTACTTACTTACTTACCTATGTTGCATTAAGTTTATGTGATATCTTGGAATGGGCAGTGGATCATGTTGAAGTATGTATGAGATGATATAATGCTTTGTGATAGAATGTTTTATCCCAGGATAACCTGGAGACTTTTAGGATCTTAGAAGATGCATTGAGTATATAAGAAAACTGTCAAATGTTCAGTCTCGATTAACGTTAGCAGAGAATTGGTATGGTTATAATCCTCCTAAAAGTCGTACTATTACAGTAAGCCGCATGGTTTATACTTAATTTTTCTTTACAAATAATAGCTTCTTGTTTAGATCCCACAACAAAATAGAGAAGATCTGTTGATTAACTATAGTTATGTTTCGTTCACTGATGCCTTAAGGCATTTCTTAAAACTGCCTGAAGTTCAAGCTGATTTGAACGAATTATCGAAAAGATCATCCACATATCCAGTCATGTTAGATATTCATGATGTGAATTTGCTCAAACACATTCGTTTTTTAAGAGCCGTGATGTTGTTAAAATTGAACTTTCTTCTGGTAAAGAACGTATAGTTGAACTGTTCATATCATATTAATTTGCTGCTTGCTTTCTTAGATGGTTTAAGCATAACAAATGCAATATCTAATCATGTCCACAAAATCTTTTTGTTTTACTGGAGTTTAATGAATTTACGTCGCGATCATGGTTCTAGCCAGGCTGCAACACGGTTAATCGTTGCGAGTCTCGAAGAGAACTTATCAGCAGATGTTTTGCAACAAATTACCGGTATAATAATTAAAACGGGAACTATATTCTACATCTCGTTTGTCGCATAAAAGTGGCTGTTTGAGGAAACATCGCTTGTATGTTGTAGAATTTATTTTAGTTCTTTGCTGTTCTGTTTCAGGTGATTTTGTGCATGCATTACAGAAAATGGGTAGAGATGGACTGGAGGTTATTATTAATGGTGTAAAAAAAGTTTATCATGTTGCCTTATTCATAACACTTGGGGATTATCCGGCACAACAAGCTTTACATGGGAGAAAAGAAAGCGTGTCCGCCTTCAAATTTTGTCCGTGTTGTAATGTCACAAATGAGTCGTATAAAGACAGCATCGATGAATTACCATCTCATTATACGCTTCAGGATTATGAAGTAGCATGCAACGTAATCGAAGAGTGTATGAGAGATGGTGATGATCGAATTAGAGCCTGTATGCTACTGCTTTTCACACATACAGCAAGAAGCATCTTCTTTTACGTCTACCTTTACAGGTACTCGCCTCCGAGAAACGTTGACGTCATTTGTGTACATCCTCTTACATCATTTTGGCAAACGCATTACGGAATCAATAATCAAAACATTTTCTCTTTATTGTCAAATTTCGATGTTACATTCCAAGTTCTACTAGATCCCATGCATATATTACTACAAGGTACTTGCGAT